TTCTTTGCTGACGGTGTTGGTTTTGAGCTTGTGATAAAATCGACGTCGTAGTAGTAAGAAATAGGGATATGTTGTTAAGGGTTAAGATCAGACATCGAATAAAGATGAAAATATAGACCAATTTATAAAGGCTTAGAGTATTCCTCTTAATAAAGTTGACATTATACGAACAAAGTCTTATATATGGGAACTTAGAGGTTGACAAAACTTGATATAGTCATGATCGAAGGTTCAAGAGATTCTACTAGAATCCATGATTTTGAAGTTCACTACAAGTAACATTTTAAACGATACATTGAATCTAAAACCACGTATTAAAAAAAATGCTGCACAACAAATTCAATTTATTGTTTAGATGAAAAAAAGAGAAAACTTATTTTACATTATATAGTTCAGGGCTCGAATTCGTTTCAAACATGCCAAAAATTTGTACCAAAATCGCTCCAGCAACTTAAAAGTATGTATGGCAAGTGAAACAGCACTGGTTAGAAGTCAATAACTTTTTTTACACATATTTGATAATTATCCGTGTATTTTTCGTGTAGAAAATTAATTTTAAAAACGGTCCGATAGCCCCTATAGCTCAGTGGTAGAGCGTTAGTCTTGTAAACTGAAGGTCTGTAGTTCGATCCTGTATGGGGGCAATTTTTCATGTTTCGTTTTATAGCTCAATTATCCAAAAATAGTAAAAATATTTCTTTTTCTAGTGCATGAGACTTGGGTTTCTAAAATATAAACCTTCTAAACCCTTATTATTATTATTATTAGGGAAAATTGTAGCTACGATACCAAACCTTTCGTTTATTAGCAGATTTTACCCAAATCTTTTCATTTTTACCATTGAAAATACCAAACTTTTAAAAAAAAATTTCAGCTGGAGTCCAAATGGATGGAAACCATCCGCTTGACCATTAGTTGGCCTGAATAATTAATTTTGATCAAATAAAAAAGGATAAAATTGTAACTTTACAATTTTAACATAAGATAACTTTAAAAAAATTCAATTAAAGAAAAAAGAGAGAGAAAATGGCTACCATTGCTTACCTCCTCCTTCACTAACTCACCCCCTTTCCCTTCGTACCCCACCAGGAAAATCAGCTGCCAACACTATTATCGCACGGCCACTGGCACCACAGATTTATTCTCCTCATCTTTCAAACCCCATTCCAATTCTTGCACATTCTTTTCCATTCCATTTACAATTTTTTTTGATGTAATCCACCATACTCAGGCCATAACCACCACCGGAAAATGCCACCTTCGCCTCTCATTCCCTTCTTACTAATCTTCTTCATCCCATTCTCCTCCGTCGCTTCTCCAGCAGTCCTTCTTCACCAAACTAATTTTTACCTCAACATTAAATCAGATTCGTACCAACAATACTTTGAAATTACACGCCGAGCTCCTTCGCACCAGCATGGATTTAACCTTCCATTGTCATTATTAGCACTGAACCAAAAGTGAATTGTCATGAAATGGGGGAGGAAAACTCATTGGATTTATACGCTAAGGCGACAGATTTGATTATTCTGATATATGGAATTGAAGATGAAGGGTTTTGGTTCAAAATCGGTAAGGGTTCCGATGTGAATTGCAAGGGGATTTAAATTCTAGAAAATACATACAAGTTTGTGAGAGGGTAATGATGTTGGTGGTTGATTTTCATGTTGCGGTGGGTGGGGTGGGATGGGGTTATGAAGGAGAAGGTAAATAGTGGTATTCATTTTTTTTCTTTTCTTTATTGAATTTTTTAAAGTTATCTTATATTAAAATTGTAAAGTTACCATTTTGCCATTTTATATTTGATCAAAATTAATTATTCTGGTCAACTAACGGTCAAATCCATCCATTTGGATTTCAATTGAGATTTTTTTAAAGTATGGTACTTCCAGTGGTACAAATGAAAAAGTTTGGGTAAAGTCTACTAATAAACGAAAGATTTGATATCGTGGCTATAATTTTCCCTTATTATTATTATTATTATTATTATTATTAATTTTTAGTCTAACAATTCTCAACTCCAAAATGGCTACTTCTATTCTCCAAAAACTCCTTGGAAGCAATCTTAGTCCACCACGAAAACTATTGCCTCTCTCAATGAAACTCACCCACCATTGTCTCTACTAACCCAAATTCCAAATCAAACTAGACTGTTGGATCCTATCCCCTAACCGGGTCAACCCGAGTGAGAAGAGATTTAAAAGCAGAACTTGATATATGGAAATGGCTTGTTGACCCGCCCATATTTCCATTATGACCTTTGACCATTAGAAAAAAGAGAGAGAAGGAAGCATAAATTGTGACTTAAAAATCAAAAGCCAAATATATCTCTTTCTCATTTTGTGCAAACAATGGAGAAAAAAGAAAAATTCTTAAAGTTGGAATTCTGTCTCCCATTAATTTTATCAGATTCGAATCTAATTCGAATCAAAAATCAATCCCTTGACACCCCTAGTTATATCTATTTTTGTGAACATGTTTGCTAAAATCAAGTTTTCTTAATAAACATATAATTATATGATGTTTTTAAAATATGAAAACACGTCGGTAATAATTATGTTATATTATTTATAATTATTTTTGCTATATAATTTTTGCCCACCCAAAAAAAAAAACTTGGCTTCGCCCTGACAATCTTAGCCGATATTCAACAAAAAATTTTAAAATATATAAATAGAAATAGAATTATGTTAAAATCTTTGCTCCTATTTGATCCCCTTTTTTAAAATTCATTTGTATTCAAACTCATTTTTAACCATATTTCATGGAATCCATAATTATTATCAACGTTTCAACTATACTTTTATCAACTTTTATTAAAATCTGCTAAAATTTTGATTTTTAAAGAAACCTAATAGAGGGTTAAGAAATATGTGAAACTCTATTCATATTTATAGAATCCATGAAAATTCATAAATTTTAAAACAAAAATCATTAAACTTTGAATTGAGGACAACCTCCTTCATTTATTTTAGGGTAATTGGTACAAAACATCCATACTTTTCAAGTTTATTGTAAAAAACGTCCCAATCTTTCATTTTTTGACATTTTCACCCCTACCTTTTACATTTCTTTGCGCAGAAGGTCCTTTTCATTAGTTTTGACAATTTTACTCTCCATTCAAATAAAACAAAAAAAGAAAAAAAAATAAAGAACTAATTGCAATAATAGTCCCAAAATTTCAAAAAAAATGACAAATCGGTCACAATTTATTGTGAACTGAAAAATTTCAAAATTACCCAAAAAAAAAAAAAAAAGTGGAAGGGAAATTTGAATGTACAGAGAAATAATCAAGAAATAGAGAAATTTTTGAACCATAGCCAATGAAACTGAAAATATTCAAAAATGGGTAAGCACAAATCTCCATTTTTATTCAGTGAAGAGTAGATGGAAGGTTTGAGGTAAAAATCACGTAATCTTCAAAATTTTTCATTTCCATAGGTTATGATTAAAAAAATTTCTCTATTTATTGATTATTTCCCTATACATTCAAGTTTCTTTTCTCTATTTAATTTTAAAATTTTTTAGTTCACAATAAATTATGACTGATTTATAATTTTAAAAAAATTTTGGGACCATAATTGCAATTAATTCTTTATTTTTTCTTTACTTTTCTTTTTGTTTCGTTTTAATGGAGGGTAAAATTATCAAAAGGACCTTTTGTGCAAAGAAATGTGGAAGGTAGGGACAAAAATGTCAAAAAATGAAAGGTATGGATGTTTTCAATAATAAACTTGAAAGGTAGAGACGTTTGTGCCAATTACTCTTTATTTTATTCTTTGAACTTAATTTATGTTTTCAAAATTGGCTATTCAATTTGCTGTCCATCAATGATCAATTGACACATCATTGGACATCTAGTTTTAAACACAAGTGGCAATGAGAGAAAATTTGAATATATTAATTTAAAGTGATAATTTAATTAATTATTGACTCGATAATAGGTTGGACAACCAATTTTGAATGGTAGATCTCAACTCCAAATGAATTAACCTCTATTGGTAGTTGTATTTTCAGTTTTTTTGTTTTTGTTTTTGTTTTTGTTTTTTGTTTTTTAATATGGCTAAAAATCTATTTTGACATCATTATTATTGTTAGGGTTGGATAAATCTCCAGAATCGAATCGAACCGAACTCAACGGTTCTTGTCAAATTAAATACCCGAACGAGTATTTAAATTGAGAACCGACGGGTACGGTTCGGTTCTCGATTCTAAATCAAGAACCGAATAAGATTCCAATCTTTCTAATTTTTTTTATATTGAATAAATCAAATTATTTTAATTTTAACTTTTTCTAAACAAATTAACAATTTCTAAATCCAAATTTTTTGCCTAATAATTTGTTTCATTTCTAATTTTTTAATTTTTTGCCCAATTACCCATTTTATTGTTTTATTTCTTAGCCCAACAAGATCCAACCCACTAAATAACCCTAAACACCTACACTAAAGTGCATAACACTGTCTCGACTCTCATACTCACTCTCGCAGCCTCCTTAACATTCCAAAACCTATACAATCACCGATCGACACTGTGATCTCCGATCGAAGTTGTGACCTCCATCGATCGAAACTTTGATCGTAGAGATCATTTGAACAAGGTAATCTACTAGTTTCTGACATTCCAAAACCATTAAATGTGTCATTAGTTATATTTATATAATGTTGTTATAAATGTTAAAAAATTTAATTATAGTACGGAACCGAATGGAACCGAACCCGAACGGTTCTATAATTATATTTGGACCCGACGGTTCCATTTACTAAATACTCGAAAATTTTGATTAGGTTCGATTCTCTTTAGAACCGAACCGACCCACGTTCACCTCTAATTATTGTTACTTTAACGAAAAACGTATAATTAAAAAACAATAAACTTATCTTTACATAGTAACACTAAAGGGGGGGGGGGGGTTATAAAAAAAAAAAAAAACTTAAAATTAAGGGAAAAAAAAAAAAAAAAAGCTAAGCAATAATTTTTTTTTCCCCAAAATATTATATTCATCACCTGCGCAGTGTTTCTCTAAGAAATAATACAGAAATACTGTAATTACAACAAAGTGAAACATTGTGCTGCAGAAAAATGGCCCGTCAATTGTTTGTTCTTGCACTCATTTTCCTCGCCGTCGCAGGAGCGGTGGCGGCCAATTCCTCGCCGAGCAGCTCCCCATCGTCATCGCCTGCACCTAAATCATCTTCCCCAAAAGCTGCACCATCGCCGAAGGAAAGTAAGACCCCGGCCGCCACCCCAAAATCCTCGCCAGTGCCTGCACCTAAATCATCATCCCCAACACCGGCACCAAAATCCTCCGCCCCGAAATCCTCTGCCCCAAAATCCTCGAGCCCCGCTTCCTCTCCTCCTACCAACTCATCCACCCCAGCAGAGTCCCCCGAGGATGAGCCCTCATCTCCACCCGCCCCCAGCAGCCAAGCCGGTTCTCCTACAGCCACCACCAGCAACTCCAGTGCTCCATCAGCTTCGGGACCCAGTGCTGACGCACCTGCGGCCGACAATAACGGTGCCGCCTCATTGAAAATCTCTTCTGCTGTTGCGGCTGCCGTGGCAACCGGATTCTTCCTCTTCTAAGCATTCTCAATGCAAACGCTTATAGCATGTTCGGCCTATGGGAGCAAGGACAAACATGCAGAATCTTTGTTGGTTTCAAATTTACTATTTTATCTTTTATTAGTAATACGTTTTTGATATAACCATGCCATTATAGGAAGTCATAGTCGGAGGTTACCTCTTTGAATATTCTTCCATAATTTGTAATTCTTCGGGAAAATTTTGGGGGCCTTCAAACATATTTTGAGAACCTGTTTTAGTCCTTTGTAATTTAATTATATAATAATGGCTAAGGAAAATTGTCCTCTTGAAATTTGCATTTCTCTTGATGCTTTCATTTAAATACTTGCGTTCATTTACAATCCATTGATAATTCCAAATTCGAAGTGGGGGTCCGATCCCTGTGAACCATAATTAGAGGGGCGTGTCATTTTCTCATTGGGAATTAGCCAAAAAGAAGAGAAAAAATGGTAACAATGCAGGTGCTGACATTAGCAGCACTTGTAAGCCCGTGTACAATTTTCCCTGTACAAGAGGAATAACTTTGTGAACTATTAGTGAAAGCAGAACAAGTAAATTTCGAATCTAAGCTGAGAGATGCTGGGGCTCGATCCCAGACCAGGCTTTGCACTAGGCAGCATCCATTGAGAATGGTAGGGTTGTTGTGAAAGCCCAGAGGAAAACCCTCCTCTCCCACGACCTTGGCCGCGTCCTCTTGCTGCTTCCTGAGGAGATATTGAAGAAGCACGCAATGGAGACGGCGAGAAAGAGGAATAACTTTGTGAACTATTAGTGAAAGCAGAACGAGTAAATTTGGCCTAGGAGCTTCATACGTGCATTCTATTTTGCTTCCTCCAGTAATAATGTCTATACGAGAGATTGCTATATATTGAACTTGAAAAATCCCCTCTAAAGAACGTCAAAACTTAGAAAAATCCTCGAGTTCAAAGAAGATTAATGTTCTTCAGCTTTACAAAGCACAAGTAAATTCATATTTTTCCCCTTTGTTGTTGGTCTACCATATGTTTTTTCTCTTGAATGCATGAACATTAAGTGTGACATAACATGCAACGTTTATGGTAACTTACAATTCTATGCTCTTCTCTCTCTTTTTTGCACATAGCTTTGTGTCAAACATTGTTTAGGACACGATATTACACGAGTATTTATTCCTTGTATACCCCAATCTTGAGCTGTTAATAGATTATTTTCAAATTGGTTTGCCGTTTACTTTTTTCGCAGCGTGTAAAATAAGATGTGATTTTAGGTGTTACATAACAGTTTCGCACATAAGATTCTTTGAATATGCAGATTTTATCCTGAAGTGGACGGATCATAAATGCTGGAAAATGGGATTTAATTACTTAATGTATAAACAAAAATATAAAAAAAATTTGTTGGAAAAATAAATGTATAGATGTTTTAGAAATTACTCTTGTAGTGTAAAGTATTCATTGGTATTGTTCATCTCGATTCCATCTTCAAACATGGAGTATTCATTGGTCCATTTGATTACAAAGATAGAAATTGGATGGAAAGAAAACGAATTCTAGAGAATTGAATTGTTTAGAAATTATTTTTCTGAGAATTGTAAATTATTGTGTTTGATTGGTATAATTTTTTACCTGAAAATGTTGAAATGAAAGTGTTTTTTGGTATTCGTTTGTCTTTGTTTTATATGAAAATTGTCATTTAAATGAATATAATTTACTGATATTGGGAATGAAATTTGTTTTCATCGTGAAAAAAAAAATTCAAGAATATCATTTATCTTTTGATGTTCGTTTGACTTTGTTTTACATGTAAATTATCAATTAAAAGGAAATATTTTTTTACAATAATTCTTAGAATTTGTTTCTATTAAAAAAAATGAAAAAAAAAATTTGCTACAGTAACCGAGAATTTCAATTCTCACCATTTTGGTGAGAATTCTAATTCCTTGATTTTATGGAAAATGCTGACGTGGCAAGAAAGTTGAAATTTCAATTCTAGGGAAAATTTTGGACAATCAAACAATCAAAAGCTGGAAAATTGAATTTTCCATGGAAAAAGTGGAGCAATCAAACATAGCCTTAGACATTTTCGGATGTTCTTTAAAATTCAATACTGTAGAGATTTATGTGTGGGCTCGATAATAAAAATACTGTAATTGATCTAAATGCAAATGTTTATTTATAGAGTAATGTTATTCGTAGTTACTCACTACGGTAGTTATTTAATGAATTAAGTGATAGTTTTTTATTGATTTATGCATTAAATAACTACTTTTCATGTGTATGTCACGTAGAATGACTGTCGTAATAATGCAAATAACATTATTCTTATTTACAATATAGGACATGGCTTGGATAGGGAAACATACGATTATCTAAATGGACTCTTCATTTTAGTTTTTATCCATATAAAACTATTTCTATATATGATGACGCCTAGTGGAAAATAGTGCAGGATCAATTAGTTAATTCCATTGCAGTTAATAATGAATTATAACTCTTATAATTTATTGTAATATTTATTTAAAGCCATCAAAGGGATCTAATTGGACTCAACTAAACTAAACTCCAATGAATTAATCTTGATTTATCATTTCTTAATTGGCCAAAATAATTTATTAATCTTGTTTTGTTCCACTAAACGAATAAGATAGTACTCTTATGAGGAAGAACACATTCTTCAGGCTGCCATTAAGATAACATCTGAATTTTCCACCCACCAAGATCAGATGCGCTTTCTGTTTGATTTTCCTCACTTCTCATCAGTTTCAGCCTTGATGGCAGACATTTTATATAACAGAATAATGCTAAAATAGACCCCTAAACAGTGAAATTTGACTCTAAAAGTTTAATTGTGTCATTCGACAAATATGTACAAAATTGAAAAATGTTTTCAAATCGTAAGCAAGGGCGAAAATCAGACAATTGAATTAAAAGTTTTGTGCATTTTCGTATATTCTTATTTCTTTTTAGCTTGATCAAATGCACTAAGGTTGATCCTTCTTCCTTCATGCTTATCTTTAAATTTGGTGTCTTACTTGTTGTACTTGAATTCTCGATCCACTTAGTTTAGACAAGTTCTTGCTTGGCTTCTTTGATCTTATTTGCTATTGACCTAACTATCTATCCCTTCGGAACACATGATAGATCCTTGCTAGCTTACCATCCATGAAGCACAGAATTTCAGAATCATTTAGAGCGGCGTGTTCGATAAAGTAACTATTGCTAAGGAATTTCTTAAGGAAATTAAAAAATGAAAAATGCTTTGTGAAAATCGATAAGATCAAAACTAGTATGTTCAGGTGAGCATAATTTCACTAGAGTATAAGAGTAAAGGAAACATAAGGGATTATATCATAGAAATGTCTCATATTGCTTCAAAACTAAAGGTATTGAAACTTGATCTATATGATGACTTGTACATTTGGTTCTAATTTCTCTTCTTGCATAATTTAATCAATTTAAGATCAGTTGTAACTGTGAAAATGAGAAATGGACTCTTAATGAGCTCATTTCATATTATGTGCAAGAAGAATAAAGACTGAAGCAAGACACAACTGAAAGTGTTCACTCCAAAAGTAAATCTAAGAACACGTTCAAGAAAAGAAGGAATAAGGAAGCTACATCTAGTCCGGCTCAAAAGAAACTACAAAACCTGAAAGATGAGAATCATCTAGCTATTACGTTTACAAAAATTTGAGACACATGAAGAGGGATTGTACCAAATACCATGCTTAGCGTGTAAAGAAATGTACTTTTATCACTTTGGTTTCTTCACAGGTCAAATTAGTTTCAGTACCTATACATACTTGGTGGAATGATTCCGGTGCCACTACTTATAAAAGTGTGTCTATGTAGGGTTGTCTCAACAGTTTAAAGCCATATTATGTTGAAAAATTCATGTAGGTGAGGCTATCTAGTTGAAGTTGAGGCAATTTGGACTTTTAGATTATTATTAAAGAATAGTTACTATTTGGATTTGAAAGAGACATTTGTGGTATTTGATTTCAATTTTTGTATTAGACAAATTTGATTATTCTTATTCTTTTGAAAATAATAAATTTATTCTTTTTCTTAACTCAAATGTTGTAGGGTATAATCTATATTTGCATAATTCGGTTGCCTCACATAATGAAATATTACATATGAATCACGTAGTATTAAATATAAATTAACCTATGAGAATTTCATTTCGTTATGGTACAAGCGATTAGGTCACATTTCTCAAAAGAAAATCAAAAAGCTTGTGTTAGAAGCAATTCATAATCCCTTCAAGGGGCTACAAATTATATGAATAATGGGTCAATTTTCAAAACAAAAAATGTTTGGTTCTTTGAAGATGTAGAGTTTGTAGTGGAGATACGATTAGGGATCTTATCTTTGAGGGGGAATATATAACTATTCCTTCTATTGCCATTGACATCGATCAAGATCAGGGATAAATTCGTGTTCTAGATCTTATTCAAGAAGCAATTTGGATCAAGATAATATCCAAGAACCTCTTATACACAATCACAAGATTGTTCAAGACAAACAAACTCAGCAACCTCAAGACAAATGCCATTAAGGAGATCCATTAGAGAAAGGAGAAACACAATTATAGATGACTTTATGGTATTTCTCTAGAAAAATGAGAATGACGTTGGTTTGGTAGAAGATTCAATTAACTTTCCATCAAGCAATGCAAATCGATAATTCTCAAAACTGAATTGATGCAATAAATGAAGAAATAAAGTTCATGAAAGGAAATGACATTTGGAAACTTATCTCATTACCTTTCGATGCAAAACTCATTAGTTGTAAATGGATATTTAAAACTAAGAAAGATTCAAAGGGTGATGTGGAGAGATATAAGCCTGTCTTGTTGCAAAGGGCTTTACTCAAAGGAAGGCATTGACTTTAAAGAGACTTTCTCTTAGATTTCTAGGAAAGAGTCTTTTAGGATCATTATGGAACTTGTGATACATTTTGATTTTGAGATACATCAGATCAGATAGATGTAAAGACAGCATTTCTCAATGGTGAGATTGACCTGAGGATTAATATAGTGCAACTGAAAAACCTTGTGTCGGGAGACCCAAAGAAGATGGTTAACAAATTAAGAAATTCATCTATGAGCTAAAGCAGACTTTTGGTCAATTATCTCGCTTATCTTTGAGATGAATGCAGTTGATATTATGCATAAAATTTCAATGGAAATAAGCATATTTTTCTGATATTGTATGTCAATGACATATGGCTTGCCCTTAATGATATATGCTTATTGTACGAAACCAAGAAATTTCTATCAATGAATTTTGTGATGAGAGATTTTGGTGAGGC